TTGGTCTTGATTTCTCAGATAATGTTACTTGTATCCTGGAATCACAATGCACTCCGTCGATTTTCCTCTCTCTTTCTTGTGTTCGTATGGATCATCCATATGGGTGATAGATCAAAAATGTTTTCGGTCATTCTAGGGTAATTCAAGGGGAATCATGATCACTGTAACCCAACCATAGCTTCTTAATCTCTGTGGTAGCTAAGATTATGGTGCTTGTGCCTTTTCATATCTTTTTCGATTTCCAGTTTACTGCAGTGGAGAATGAATCTACTACACTCAATGCTTGCTTCAATTTTGTCTCTGATTCGTTTCATTCATCTCCACCGTTTGGCCTTTGTTTTCTTATTGCTCCTTAGGGACCATAACTGCTCTTCCTATTTCTATTACCTTCTCCACTCTCTTTTCCTGTATTTCAGAATCCTGCATCTGTTCCAGCTGCAACCTCAAAGCTTTCACCTCTTCCCCCTGAGCCGTATGACACCATTGACATCCCTCTAGACTCCGGAAAGGTATTTTCTACAGCCAGAGATGCCTTGTTTATCTCTGAATAATCCCTAAGACAGAATTGACCTTTTGCCAACTTTTAGGACCTGNAAGCTAAGGAGAAGGAACTCCAGGCAAAAGAGGCTGAATTGAAGAGACGTGAGCAGGTAATCTGACTACCCTCATGTCACTTCTCAAACTGGTTGATGTTCTTGTTGCTTGAACCAACAATGATTAGTTTTCATCTATTGTGTCAGGAACTCAAGCGGAAAGAAGATGCTATGGCACAGGGTATTTTTGTCAATTTTATCTTTTGTAGATTTCGTTCCATGTGAAATGCTCATCTTGTCATCTTCTTTTTGGTAGCCGGAATTGTGATAGAAGAGAAAAACTGGCCACCGTTTTTTCCTCTCATCCATCATGACATTTCGAACGAGATACCCATCCATCTGCAGAGAATCCAATATGTTGCATTCACGTCATTGCTGGGTACAAAAAATGTGTTCTCTGTTTCTTAAATGAACAAACCATCTAAATAATTGCAAAACAAGTGGATTTGTTGAATTATTAGTAAACAATCTTTATCCCTGTTTGGCAGGTCTTGTGGTGTGCCTGTTATGGAACATTGTGGCTGTTACAACCGCTTGGATCAAGGGAGAAGGTTAGTCTTGAAACAGTTAAAAACTTGTCAAGATGACTGAGCCTGTATGCTGCTAATCTGCTGACCATGTACCCTTGTCTAGGTCCAACAATATGGTTTCTAGCTATTATCTATTTCATATCCGGGGTTCCTGGAGCATATGTCATGTGGTATCGCCCTCTTTACCGTGCCATGAGGTAGATAGGGTATCCGTGCCACTTAACTATAAATAGTACTCTATCTGCTGGTGTATGGCGTGTTCCTTCATTTAAGAGTCAAAAGTTACATGAGATGAGAGTGAGTGTGGATTGATTTGGTTGTGTGCAGGACTGATAGTGCTCTGAAGTTTGGGTGGTTTTTCTTCACGTATCTGGTGAGTTTTCCATTTGGTTTAGTGAACATATTGTTGGAATTGAAATATCCAAAGAAGGAAGAGGAGAGAGTAAAAAGCTTGAGATATAAATGCAGTTTCACATAGGGTTTTGTGTGTTTGCGGCGGTGGCTCCTCCAATTATCTTCAAAGGAAAATCGCTCACGTAAGGAACTAATTACTTTCTG